TTCACAGAGGGTCTTATTGGCCATATTCTCTTTTTATATTTTCCTGTATTACGAAGTCCTAATAAATGTAATAAACCCATTGTGAAGTAAACTCACATATAAGTGATTCTTTATTTTAGTTGGAATAAATTGTTTTTCTACAGAAAAGAATAGCCCTGGCTAGTGTGTCTCAGTGGATTGAGTGCCAGCCTGCGAACTAAAACGTCACCAGTTCTGTTCCCAGTCAGGGCCCATGCCTGGGTTGCAGGCCAGGTCCCCAGTTGGGGGCGTGCGAGAGGCAACTGATCTATGTATCTTGCATATCTGTGTTTCTCTCCCTCTGTCCCCCCTTCCCCTCTCTCTAAAAATACATAAATAAAATCTTTAAAAAAAAAGAATAAAAGATCAGTAATGAATACACATGCATACGTTGAACAATGCTATCTCTGTGTGAGGGGATTAGGGGTGATTTGAAACATGTTCTTTGTGTTCTCTGTATTTCCTTATTCTTCTATAAAGATCACGCATGACTTTGTAGTCAGAGAATGTCTGCGTACGGTGGGGGAGGCACGTTGTCCTTGGACGGCTCACGTAAAAACAAGAGAAATGTCCCTGTTTAGCCTAACTGTTGCTGAAAAAACGCTTGCTTTTATTTTTCCAAATACATCGAGCCCACTGATCACTGCTTTAAAAAAATCAAGCTCTCTGGGCAGATGGAGCCTGGGTTGCAGCTATTCCAATTTGTCCCTTTTGCCAAGGATTACACACCTTAGATTCCCGAGGGGCAGGAAGCCAAGATGGCGGACCCTCTGCTCTGAAAACCCAAGAGCCCCTTCACCTTCTCATCCTTGCAGGGGGTTAACTCACTCTTTGGAGACCCGTCTTTTTCTCACACATAAGCTTTGCCTCCACCTGAATTCCTGCACAAGAGCTGGCTTGAGATGAAGTTTCCCGTTCCAGAGCCTGCAGGCCAGAGGGGCATTCCACCCGGGAAGCCACAGCAGCTGGTGTTATCAGTCGCTGACCTCCTTAAATCCATTTCCAGTTCCTGATAACACATTCTTTCACTTTTGGGGAACCTGTTTGAAAAAAAGCCCCGGAGTGGACATCCCACCGACAACCAGATCAAGGATGCTCCGTCTTAGCAAATCTTTGACCGCAGCTTCCTTCTTCAGCGTCAGCACTGAGCAGGATTGAAGGGCAGCTGGCCTGTAATGTCCTCTCCAGCAGGAGGCAGGATGGCACGCTCATGTGACCAGATCAGGCGCCAAGTCTCGGCGCTGTCAGTCATTAGTCATGTGACCTTGGACAAGTTACTTCCTCTCTGAGCCTTGATTTTTCAAACTTGAAAGTGGAATTAATATCACCTTCCCTCTAGATTTGCAGTGAGGATTCAACGTGATAACCACATGAATTATGGAGGCTAGCACTTAGTGAATGGAAAAGAGGAAGTGTAGTTGGAACCCCGGTGAACCAGAAGGGTTCAGGAACGGTTGCTGGGGGCTGCTGAGAACAATTCCGTTTATGACCAGTTCTTGGCTGCTGGATAGGGTTTCTTAGCAGAGCTGACAGGGCCTGGGTGGGGGACGGGAGGGAGAATGACAATGCGGTAAAACGAGTTCATTTTCCATTAATTATGTATGGAGCACCTACTATGTACCCAGTGTGGCTTCAGCCACTGTAATCCAGAATGGGTGAGACCCAGCCGACTGGCTCTTCCGATACGGGAGCTCCGTCGCCTAGGAGCAGACCGGGTTCTGACAGCAGATTATGTGCAGTTTGCAAGTCTGCATGGACCAAGTGGAGTTTGGGGTTGTAGCCCCTGTGTGCCGTTCCACCGAAAAGAAGTGAGAGCTGGAAACCAAAGCTTTTAACCCATCCTTCTTGATGATGTTTGTTTATAGGACACCTTTTCCCAGAGTATACAGGGCTGCTGACAACGAAAATCTGTTGAGCCACCAGGGACAGGAGCTCATATAATATTAGTGATGCTGCTTGATTTTCAAAATAACGGTATCAATCTCAATGTTAAAAGCAATTATCTCAGGGTGGTGAGATCAGAGGCAATTGCAATACATGTTTTGTGTCACACTGTATTGTTTTGAATCACAAGCCACAGATGGTTCTACTGGTCCAAGATCTGTTCTGATCGGAACCACACCAGAGGGAGCAGTGTGGGGTTGGGGCGGGGGCCTTTGTGAGGAGCTCCGAGGGAAAGTCAGAGGGCAGAGAGCAGCTGGGTGAGCAGAAGCCAGGGGCAGCTACAGCTGTGGGGAGTGGAGTGTGAAGCAGCTGCTGAAGGGCAGGCTGGGTTTTGCGGGTTCTTCTCTCCATTTTCTATTTCCACAAAAACACTGCAATGAACTGTCCCCAACACAGTGGTACAGAGCAAGTTGGAGTGGGCAATTTGATCTGGGTGGTGCTTCTGGTCTCAGATGGGCTCCCCTGAGGGTTGGGGGTCAGCTGGCTGTTGGCGGGGGCAGCTTGGCTCTGCTCCACATGTCTCTCCATCCCCCTCTGGCTAGCCAGTGTGCTCTCAGGGTGGAAGGAGAGGTGAAGAGGAACAAGAGGAAGGGCAGGAGGCCTCCGCAGGCTGAGGTTTGCAACTGGCGCACCATTACTTCTGCTGTGTTTTCTTGGGGAAGTAGGTCACAGGTCTGGTCCAGATTCAAGGAAGAGGTGAGCAGTGGAGGAGGGGCTAGACCCTGCCCCTCCAGTGAGAACAGCTATGGAGTCAAAGGGGAGGTGGCCAGGGTAGAACCATGTATCACAGCCCGAAGCCTATACACAGTTGAGGCCCCCTTTTAGGGAAAAGAACCTAAATTATGAGTAGGAAATTTGATTCAGGGCTTTGAAAGGAGGCTGATTAAGCGAGGGGTGCTGAGGCTTAAGCTCCATCAGCCTCTTCGCAAATCCGCGTCTTTCTCACTGCCGCAAAGGAGTGAGATGCTCGAAGCGCCCCCTGCGCCCCCGAGCACGGCTGAGGACGGGAGCCACCATCATGCTGGCGGCAGAGCCCAGAGTGAAAGCCCCCAGCCCTGGTGTCCGGCTCCAGGCCACTGTCCGCTCTGGGCCCGATGAACACCATTCCTGGCTGGTCCTCTGCTGCAAGGCTGAGTGCTTCTGGGCTTTCTTCGGGTCCACTTGCTTTAGACTTGGGTTTCTGTAAGTCTGAGATAGGTCCAGCAACAAACTTCTCGTGGACTTCATGTTCCGGAGTGGGGGAGACCCAACGGAGGCCCCTCCCATACACGAGGGCCTCCCCCCGCCGTGAACAGACGGGCTCTGAAAACAGACTGCCTGCCGTTTGCCAGGCCACAGCGACCACAAGAAGGAGCTTGTGCAAATCTTAGTTTTTTTGTAAGCAGGAGAAAAACGTGTCGACACACATAATACATGTATACACACACTACATGTGTACACACACAACGTACATGCATATGCGTGTGCACACATACCCCCAGGTGCTCTAGGGCAGGAGGAATCTCAGGTGACCCTCCTTTTACAGTGTGAACCTGGAAGCTCAGGGAGTCAATGGCCAAGCTCGAACTAGGGCCTCAACGGATCTTTGGAGACATAGGGCCCCCGGAAGAGCCCGGCTCTCCTGTCGTCCCCAGAGGCACTAGTTTAGAGGAGCAGTCTTGCCACTACTCAGAGGCAGCCAGGTGATGCTCTGCCTGAGTCAAAGGGCACCCCCGCCGGCTGGGCTGCGCCCAGGAGGGCCCAGGGGCAGAAGGTCGGGCCACGGGCAGACCTGTGAGCAGCTCAGAGGCCGTCCGCTTCCTACTGCCCGTGCCCAAGAAAACAAAGGTTACCCCGTGACCTGCAAAACATCTTCGCCTTGTTTTTTCCAGGGCTGTCATTTTCCTCTGAAGCCAAACACTGCCCCTGTTTCCAGAGGCCCTGGTGGGGGACAGGCTCTCCGAGCACGGGGGGCCCCGGGGCTGACCAGACTCCTAGCCCAGATCGCTGATCTTGCAAAGTGAAGGCCGGCTCTGGCTGCATCCTGGAAAAGCCTTTTTCTCGTATTCATTCCTGATTAAGGTGTGAGGGGCTTAGGTCCCTCCTTGGGACTCAGTCGCTCCTCAGCGTGTCACAGGGTGTGTGTGACATGTAGCAAAAGTGGCTCCAGGAGCACAATAGGAGAAAGGCTGTGTCTTTTCCTAACCTCCGCGCCCCACCCCGAGGGCTTGCTGGGACCCCGCTGGGGGAGGGAGGCAGGGGACAGACGCAGGGTGGCCAGAGAATGGGGGTAAGACCCACAGGGATGGTCCTTTTTTTCTTCCTACTTCAGCAGAAAGGTTTTATAAGGTGGGATGGAGGGCGCTGAGGGGGGAGGGGCAAGGGGCCCTTGGCGTTGCTGGCGAGCTGCTGGAAGGTTCAGGCTGGGGTTGGCTCTCACTTGGATGGCTGGTCGTAGCAAGAGTTTCTGGTTTCTTCTGAAGACAAAAGCCCCTTCTGCCCCTTGGACCAGCCGTTGCCCTGTCTTTGAGCCCCTTTTTCTGCAGCCTGGCTTTTGATACCCCCTCAGCCCGACCTTCATTCTGACCTCTAGTCCAGAATCTCTCCTCTGGCTCGTGGACTTCGGCCCCAAGTCTTCCTTAACAAGATTGTGCACCTGACCTCCTGGGTTCCTGCGAGTCTGGCTGCACCTGAGCCGCCAGGCTTGGGGCGTCGTGTCTCTTGCTGTGGCTCTATGACAGAGCTGGGTCCCCCTTGCCCTCGTCTTTTCACCAGCCAAGAGGATTGAGTAAGAGCTGGTCTGACCCGATGGGCTTGCAATTTCCAGAAGATGCAGCAGCACCACCTTGAAGTTCTCTTTTTAGATAACCCATCATGGCTCTGTGTATTACTTAAAAGCGTAGTCACAATTGTTATGGCATTTTGCCCGTTACTTCTCCTTCCTCTTTTAGTTTTGTCCATCAGTGGGAAGTCGCTGAAGGAGGAAGTGAGAGAGAGACAGTAGCAAAAGCAGAAGGGTTGGAGGATGACAGGGAGTTGAGGCCGTGGTGTGTGTTTGCTGCCAGGCTCGGTCCAGGGGGCCTGTGCGAGAGGGAAAATGCACCTGCTGCTCCCCCTCCCCCTGCTCTTCTGGCTTTCAGGTGAGTGGGGCCTGGGTCTGAGCTCGTGGGAGAAGCTTCTGGGCCGGAGGAGGTGGCTGGCAGCGGGAGGAGGGGCCCAGTAGGTGTCCCACTGAGAAGCGGACCCCACTTCTAAGTAGCGCCTCCAAGCCGCGAGCCTGTGCGTTTCATCCACCCACTCACCCAGTGTTTCAGCGCTGGCCGTTGTGAACGCAGAAATATGCAGCATGGCTTTCGTAATGAACCCGGCACTGGTTCCTAAGTCCTTGCTACCCAGGCGCTGACCGTTCAAAATGCTCAGATGGATGGGCCACGCTGGCCAAAGCGAAGGAGCCCCGGCTGCTCAGGAGAGTGGGTCGTACTTGCTCCTGGAGCTTCGGGAGTGTGTTATAAGCAAGGAAGGGCTTCGGGCAAGGTGTGAAGGTGGAGGGCGCTTTGGAGGGAGGGAAGCAGGGAGGTTGCCTGACAGGCAGGGGGAAATGATTCTAGGTATTTGGGGTAGAGGAAATAGCAGAAGTTGCTGAGGGATTGGAACAGTCAGGAGGAGGTGGCTTGGTAGGGTGAAGAGGCGAGGAGGGGGTGAGATATGTGCAGGGAGAGAGGGTTGGAGTCACCTTTAAGGCGATGGATACCATTTTGATTAAAAATCAAGGGGATTTTCTTGAGAATGTTGGAAGGTCTCAGGGCTTGATCTTTGGGCTTTTTCTCTCTCTAGAGTCACTCCCTTGTGACTCTCATCTCCCCTCTTGGCTTTAAACACTGTCTCTATACAGATGACTCCCAATTTTGTATTCCCAGCCTGGACATCTTCCTGGACTCCAGAATCTTCTATCCAATTGCCCATTGAACATCGCTGCTCAGAGGCTGACATTTCAAATGTGACAACTTCCCCCTTGAATTCCGTTCTCTTCCACCTCTCTGTTTGGAACTTCCATCTTCCTCGGTGCTCAGGCAAAACTGGGGGGACATCCATCCCTTCTCTCATACCCCACAATGATCCTTTGACAATGTAAGCTGGATCCTGACTCTCCTCTCATCACAACCTTCCAATGACCTACCATCCTACTCAGAGTGAAAATCCAAACCCTGCTGAGGCTGTGGGGTGCTCACTGTGTGGGATTTGCTGCCACATCATCAGTCTGGTCTCGCCTTTGCTCCTCCTGGTGAGCCCACTTCGGCCACACTGGCCTCTTAGATGTCCTGAGAACATGCCAGGCACACTCCTCCCTCAGGGTCTTGGCACTCGCTGTGTTCTTTGCCCAGGGTGTTCTTCCTCAGAGCCACGGGCTCCAGTCCCTCACGTCTTTTCTTGTCCCTGCTTCTCTCCGAGACCTTCATGGATGACCCTGATTACGACAGCAATTCCCGTGCATTACTTTTCTCCACTGTCTGTCTCCTCTCTTCCCTCACCTTGAAGAAATGTGAGCTTCAGGAGGGCAGGGATTTTTGCGCCTACAACCATGCCAGGTACGGATTAGACAAACAGTGTTAGGTGAAGGAGCGAATGTGTCTAACGGAGGAGAAACAATACCATTGCACTGACCACCCCAGCCCCAGGCCAAATCTTTCTACTTTTATAGAATGGAACAAGGGAGACTCTTCACATTGGCTAGAGAGGACGTACAGTGCTCATAGGAATGGAACATGATGCAGCCACTTTGGAAAACAATTTGACGTTCTTGAAAATGCCCAACACGTGGTTACCATGTGACCCGGCAATTCCCCTTCTAGGTAAATACCCAGGAGGATTGAAAGTGTATGTTCATATAAAAACTTGGATGCAATTGTTCATGGCAACATTATTCATAGTAGCCAAAAAGTGGAAGCAGCCCCCCATGTGCATCAACCGATGGAAAGATAAATGAAGCGTGGTCTATGCACACGATGGAATAGTCATCGGCCATAAAAAAGAGTGAAGCACTGATACATGCTACGGCATGGATGAACCTCGGAAACGTTAAGCTAAGTGAAAGAATACACCCAAAAAAGGCCATATGTGGTATGAGTCCATTCGTAGGAAAACCCAGAAAATGTAAATTCAGAAACAGATAGTAGATTAGTCCCCTAGACAGGCACAGTGACTGCTAATGAGAAAGGGGTTGCTTTCTGGGGTGATGAAACCGTTCTGGCTCCGGCTGGTGTGGCTCAGTGGATTGAGTGTCGGCCTGCAAACCAAATAGCTGGCGGTTCGATTCCCAGTCAGGGCACATCCTGGGTTGCGGGCCAGGTCCCCAGCGCGGGGGGCGCGAGTGCATCTGCACATTGATGTTTCTCTCCCCCTCCCTCCCTTCGCCTCTGTCTAAAAATAAAAAATAAAATCTTTTAAAAAGAAACTATTCTGGAATTAGATAGCAGCGATATTTGCATGGCTTTGTGAATGGGCTAAAAACCACTGATGTGTACACTTTCACAGGGTGGGTTGTATGCTACGGAAATTACATCTCAGTAAGAAAAGATCAATGAGCAGAGAGCAGGACTGCGAGCTGGGGGGTTTCTGGGTCGCCTTTGGGGGGTGTGTGTGTGTGTGTGTGTGTGTGTGGATCTGAGGCTCCGGAAGCGGGCACTCAGGGAAGCCAGACCGCCTTTATGGCTGGCGACTCTTGCGATTTGCTCATTCATGCTATCAGTCATAGAAATGAAGCTGATGCTTGTAAGAAGTGACCCGGGCTATGAGGACGGCCCAGCCGGTGCCCGGACAGTGTGGGTGGTGGGATGCTTTAGACGGGGCGGGCTCGAAGGAGCCCTCTGTGAGGAGACATCTGAGCTGAGGCCCGGAAGGCGAGGAGGAGCGGGTGCTCACGATCCAGATGGCTTTCCAGGCACAGGAAACGGTAAGTGCAGGGCTCTGGTGTGGAAACGAGCTTGACTTTGGCCGGTTGGAGGAACAGTGGAGCCATGTGGCTTTGCTACGTGCTTCAGAAAAGCCCAGTGGGGCAGGTGGAAAGGATATTATCATCTCTGGGGCAGAGGGAAGGGTTTTAGGGGAAGAAAAGGACGTGTCCAGGACCGCAGGCTGGTGGAGGGAGAGCTGGGGGCGGCTTGTTGGTGGAGACACCGAGGAGGCCAACTTAGGGTGAGAGTGAGGAGACACTCTAGCGGGAGCGCACACGAGGACTGCTTTGCTGCTGAGGTCCTGATGCTGAGCAGCTGCGAGTATTGCCTGTGTGAGTGTGCATGCGCACATGTGTGTGCGTGTACGTGGTTTGGGTGTGTTTGAACCGAGCCCGCATAGCTGTGTGCTAATTAGGAACCTGGTCACCGGTGTGAACTTCCGTGTCACCTCTCAGCAGCCTCTCCCCCAGAACCCAGAACGCCCAATCACAAGTGACACATTTTCCCAGCACTGCTTCCTTCTTCTAAAGAATTCATTGTTTTAAGAGTGCACAAGAAAAAAAATATCAACCAGGAAGTTCCCAGTGGGTTTTCTAGTACTCGTGTTCTGTGAGAAAGGAGGAGATTTTTAATTACTTCATTTTTCCTGAGAAAACTGAGCTGCCTTGCCCAACTTAAGCTAATCTACAAATGGCGGCAAGACGGACAAGAGCCTGGGGGTGCTGGCCGGGAGTAGAGACCAGCTGATGTCCTGTGCTGGGCCGGACGTGGGGTCCAGTCACTGCCCCCGGGGCCCAGCGCCCTCTTGATCTAGAACTGTGCCCTGTGGTCTGGGCTGTGAGTGACCACGCCTGGTGAGGGTGCTGTCCCTTGCAGCTCAGGGCTGCCCTCTGTGTCAGGGGGCGCTCTGCCGTGGTGGGTGGTGAGTAGATGCCTGGACTGAGGGGTCCAAGCAGTGAGTTGCCCCGTTGGTTCACATGTCAGGCCCCAAACCAAAAGCTCAGACGGTCGGGCTAACAGGCGGCTAAGCGGGGAGTGGCCATCTGTATGCGTTCCTGTGCTGTCGAAACGAATTGCCCCGAAGTTAGTGGCTTAAGAAAGCACAACTCTACCGTGTTACAATCTGCAGGTCAGGGGTCTAAAAATGAGTGGACAGGGCTGTGTGCCCCCTGGAGGCTCAGGGCGAGAATCTGATGCCTCAAGCGAACGGACCGCCGCAGAGGCTGCCGCATTCCTGGGTGGGGGGGTGGGGTCGTGTCTCTGACTCTGACCGTCCTGCCTCCTCTGGCAGGCACCTTTGTGATTAAGCTGGGATAATACCCTCACCTCAAGGTCCTTAATTTAATCACACCTTTAACTTAGCAAATTAGAAAAAGAAAACAGGCGGTAATCTAGAGGAAATAAGACATAACATTATACATATGAGAAATGAATAATTAAAAAAATAAAAACAGTAACATTTACCAACGAAATCTCAAAGCTGGTTTTAATGCAGGAGAAAAGGATGAGGAGGAGAAGGGGGAGGAGAAACAGTGAAGGAGAAAATCATGTGGGATCTGTAATCAATAAAAGGAAACAGGGCGCACAATCCAAATGTGTAATTATAATAGCTGCAAACATTTGAATTGCAAAGGAGACTTTGTAATCCTAGTACTTTGTGTTAACATGTGCTCTGTAAAATAGATGACTTCTTGGGAAAAACAAAACAAAACAAAACAATAGAATTGATTCAAGAACAGTATTCACAGGAAAACAATTTTAAGTGAGCAAAGAATTCGCCCTGCTAACTTGCCAGATAATTTTGTGGACAAGCTTTTAGGACTCAGTAAAACAAAAGTTTCTTTGCTCTATTTATGTTCTGATCTCAGAGCATAGAAATGATGGAAATCTGTGAAACTAGCACATCTCTAAAATCAAACCCTGGCGAAGCACGAGGAAAATGAAGAGCCTTCCCTCCAGACAGAGATGAGGAGCTGAGCGCCGGCGCCTGGCCCAGCGCAGACGACGCTTGCGTGGCCCCTGCCGTGTTGGCTGCTGTTGTCTCTAATGAAGCCAGTGTTTTAAAATTGAGAAGTGCCACGCAAAATCCAGTTTCTGGCTCCTCCAGAACAATGAGGGGATCTGAAACCACCGCTTGCTGATGTGCGGAGGCACGGGCTGGCGTGAAATGGGGGTCATGCCTTTGCAAAGCTGCCCGCTCCCCGGTTGCTGAGGGCCTCTCTACATCCCATGGTCTGTCACTGAGGCCTGGCGACAGTGGTCATTTTTCCTTATGCTTTGAGTGGTTTTCTTACACAAGAGAAACATTTCTCTGTATCTTGAATCTTTTCTATTTTTTTTAAAAGATTTTATTTATTTACTTTTAGAGAGAGGAAGGGAGGGAGAAAGAGAGGGAGAGAAACATCAGTGTGTGGTTGCCTCTCACATGGCCCTGACCAGGGACCCAGCCCACAACCCAGGTGTGTGCCCTGACTGGGAATCGAGCTGGCGCCCCCTTGGTTTGCAGGCCGGCACTCGGTCCACTGAGCCACACCAGCGAGGGCTATATCCTGAATCTTTCAAAGGTGAGAAAATAAAAAACCAGAAGGACATATATGATAAGAAAATGCTGCTTCACGCTATAATACCTAGCTTCTTGTAAAGCAACAGTAGACAGGGCAGTGTGGATCAGCATATGGGTAGACAAAGGATCAATGGATCAGAATGGAAAATCCATCGATAACTCACATGATTACTATTTGACAAAGAAATCAAAGTTATTTGATGGAGAAAATGTGATCTGTGACACGGGTTTCGTAGTTGGCATCACCCGTTTTTGTGGATTTCAAAGGTGCTCCCCTGAGGGGAGGGGCCCACGATGGAACCACTGGGACCACCAGGACCACCAGGAACAGCCTCGGCACAGCCGGGCCTCTGAGGCCACGGGCACAGGTCAGGCACAACCGCACTCCTGTGGACGCTTCCTCCCCAGAGGCCAGTTTCACACAGACGTTGGGGCCGAGGGACACTGAGGGAACAAGAGATCTCTTGGCCATGGGGAAGGGGAGGGGTGACTTGCCAGGAGCTCTTCCTGCTCAGTGTCAACATCGGTGTCTTTGAGATCCGCGGTTGGGCTCTAGGGTGACGTTTGTGGTGGCTACGACGCAGTGGAAATTTGAGGGACAAGGGGTCTGACTTGAGGAAGGTGCGTTCCGTCCTGGACACTGTGCCTCTCACCAGGCACGGGCACTTACTGGAGCTTTCACGGTGCAGGAGGCTGCGGCCCTGCCCATGGGGTGGGCGTGGGGTGAAGGTGACAGGTACATGGGTGTGTGTGTTCCAGGCTCATCAGCTGGCATGACGGGTCCAGAAGAGGTGCGTGGCCCTGAGGGAGGCTCGCTGACCGTGCAGTGTCGCTATGTCCGAGGGTGGGAGACCTACGTGAAGTACTGGTGTCAAGGAGCTGATTGGAGTAGCTGCAAGATCCTTGTTAAAACCACCGGCTCAGAGCAGGACATGAACAGGGACCGTGTGTCCATCAGGGACAATCAGACCAGCCGCACCTTCACCGTGACCATGGAGAAGCTCAGGAGAGAGGACACACGCACTTACTGGTGTGCGATTGAGAGAACCGGAGCTGACCTTAGGGTCCCAGTAAAAGTGACCGTTGGCCCAGGTAAGAGCAAGTGTACGTGTGGCCGTGTCTCTTGAGGGCCTGCTATGTCCCGGTCCCTGAGGTCCCTGCCCAGGGACTGCGCTCACTCAGAGTGAAGTGCCACGGAGGCTGGTAGAGTCCCGAGGTCTCCCGGGACCCGCTGTTCCTGTGGGCTTGGAGGGGCAGGGCTTCCAGGCTCTTGGGCTCCCGGGCCTCCTCCAGGACGGGGCCAGGCCCCTCTGGGCACATCGAGTTCCTCCGCACAGCTCCGTGCCTGAGCCTATTGCCCAGAGAGGTCACGGCCATGGGCGCAGGTTCAGCCCGTGGGCCATAGGGACCCTCTGCCGTGGGATCCAGAGATCCCAGTTGCTCCCATTGCTGTCCTGGGCCCTCTGGCGTCCAGGTGTCCCCACTTTTAGTGGTGTTTTGGGCTAGGTCTCATAGCTGCTGATCCCATCCTTTGTTCCACAGTTGAGGTCCGGTGGCCCAATTCCTGAGGTTGGGAGAGCCTCTACAGTCAAACAGTTGCATTCTGGGAGCCTGAAATCCCATCACGGGCCATATATGCTTCTGGGATTAAAGATGGTCGCTTTCTGGAAGGCAGACACTACTGAGAGTACCGTGGTTTAAACAATTCTATCTCTTGGGCTCTGCTTCTGCTGACCCTTGGACAGCCAGCTCCAGCTCACAGGGCACTTACTGTGGGGGCCACGGGACATGCTCAGCAGAGTCCCCACCACACTGGGACCCGGGGAGGCCCGTTACAGCTGTACAGTGCAGCACGTGCCTTGTCTCATGGAGTCTGGACCCTCTTCCTGGGAAGAAATGATCCCCATCATAGAACCTACTGGTGCAAAGTAAAGCCTCCTGAACATCGTGGTTTTGTTCAGGGCTGGTCCTGACCTTAGATGTCACAGATCTCAGGCATGTGAGCCACCAGGGAAGCCCCTCTCTTCCCTTGTCCTGGTTGGATAAAAAAGGTGGGGGAGGCTTTGGCCAACGTTGTGTCCCACACGGCAAGAGTGTTTAATGTTCAGCTGAACTCCAGCCGCCCTTGACCTGAGGCAGCCCTGGGCCCCCTCCCCGTTCCAGGGACGGCTCCATGTCCTCTTGGACCTGTACCCAGACTCACCTGCGTCTGAGGTCCTGAGTCTCCTAGAGGCCAAGGAGATGTGAGCGGTCCAGGCTTCAGGCCCCTTCCCATGGCCCCGTTGTAGGCTCCTCAGGCCCGGGCAGCCCCCACGCCTCCCAGGCTGAGAGCCACGTGCAGGGCTGGGGGAGAGGGACAGGCAGAGTGGGATGTAATCTGTTCTCTGTGCCACGCAACAACGACAGTGTCAACCACCATGCCTACCACCAACACGTTCACAGTGCCAGTCTCCCCAGAAGCCACTGCAAGCTCCCTGACTGTGACCAGCTCCCACTCCAAAGGCGGGTAAGTCAGCTCGGATGCTGCTGTTCTCTGTGACCTCTTGTGCCACACTTCTCCAGTGCGGGGACTTACTGTAGCCCCAGGTCCCAGCCAGGATACAGGCGTCCCTCCCACTTGGTCTCAGGCGGCACAGGCCACGGTGACGCCCACCTCCGGTCCTGCCTCCTGGCGCTCAGTGCACTGGGGGGGTTTGTTCTCATCCACTCACCCGTCCCGCTCTCACTGAGTGAAGTCCTGTGCTACCGGTGCTGTGTTGAGTCCTGCCACAGAGACACGGAGCGTCCCCTGCGGAGCTCAGAGGGTGGGACATGGACGAGCAGGCGGCCAGGGCAGAGGGTGTGTCAGGCTGTGGGGGCACCGGGGTCATGGGGCCACATGGATGGCTCTTGGTCCAAATTCTGGGAGTACTGGGAGGTCCTGGGAAGTCCTGTCTCCCTAGTTGCTTCTATGGGAACAGTGGTGATAGTGACTGATAGGAAGTCCTGTCTCCCTTGTTTTTTCTATGACAATAATGGTGACAGTGACTGTCCCCTGTGTCCCTGGAGCACCAGGCATCTCATAGGGCTTTCCTGTCCCTGTCCTGCTCACGCTTTGACCCTCCGACAACGCCCTCCTGTGGGGGAAGGGACAGGTACGCGGGCTCCCGTTCTAAGAGGGAGAAGCTGAGCCCCGCTCCGCCTCCCAGCACCTGCCCAGCCCTGCAGCCACGGGGGCTTCTGGAAGCTGAGCGGCCCCTTCGCTTCCTCCCCTCACCCTCCTTGGCCTCCGGGCTCTGTTTCTAGGCCTGCTGTGCTCTCCCACTGCGGGGCCTCCCGCCAAGTCCTACGGGGCCTCCCATCTCTCCACCCAGGGACCCCTCTGTCCCCGCTCCCATTTGCCCTCTGTTTGAGAGTTCTTTTCTATTTAACTGCTTTTAATTCTTAATAAGAAAAAGTCTTTTAATTTCATGAGTCTAAATCAGATGTAAGTACCAGTTAGGGTCTTTGATCGGCACTGGATGGAGAGCTCATTCGCTTACTGGGTGAATAACTGCTGAGCACCTCCTCACGTCTGTCCCTGATTTAGGGAACACAGGGGATTGAGGATGGACACAATGGTCAGGTGTCTGTCCTCCAGGCACTCAACAATCGAGAGATAATTAACGTACTAAAAAGAGCTCATTAATTAACTGATAGATGGATGTATTGTATACAAGCCCGTGAACAGCGATGAATAAGACCCACTCCTGGCGGCAGTCAGCTCGGGCGCCATAACCAAGCTCCCCAGGCTGGACGGCGAACACCGCAGACGCTCTCTGGACAGCTCTGCAGCCCGAAGTCTGAATCCTGGGTCGCAGGGCTGGTTCCTCCTAAGGCCCCTGTCCTTGCTTGTAGATGGCCGTCTTCTCCCTGTGTTTGCCCAGGGTTCCTGTTTGTGTGAGTCTGTGTCCCAATCTCTTCCTCATATAAAGACCCCAGTCGTTTCCCTCCCAGTAGAGCAGGCCAGGGCGAGAATAGGAAGGATTGAATTTGGGTGGGGAGGGGAGGCCGTTGTCAGACTCGGCCATTGTTTTTGGTCTTTTTTTTTTTTTTATGAATAAAATGGAGCTGGTATGGGACTGTGAGCATAGGAGGGAGGCGTTCGAACTTTTAGTGCAGAGGATCCCTCAGCTGCTGTATTGATGATGAACTGCAGGCAGATGTATTCGTTTCCTGTGGCTGCCAAAGCTCAATAGCACCAACTGAGCAGCTTAAAACAACAGAAGTTTATTCTCTCATAGCTCAGGAGGTCAGGAATCTGAAACCAGCATTGGCTCCAAGGGCAGAAGCTGTCCCTATGCTGTTCGGCTTCTGGCGGTGGCCAGCCGTCCTTGGCGCTCCCTGGCCTGTGGCCAAATCACTCTCATCTCTGCCTATGTTGTCACGTGGTCTCCTTCACGCACGTGTGCGCAAGCCCAAATCTCCTGTTAAAAGGACACTAGTCGGATTAGGCCAGCCTAATCCAGTATGACGTCATTTGGATTACATCATCAACCATCTTCTTTTGAAATAAGTCATCTTCACAAGGTCTGCGTGAACAGGAATTACGGGGTGGGGGACTCTATCCAACCGTTAGAAGGGGTGAGTGCAGATATTCTCAGCACCTGTTGTCATGCAATTTCTGTTAGGCTTCTGAAACGCCCTCCTCTCCTTTCGTACAAAGCCACTGTAGAGGGCACCCAGGAGTGGGGGTTCGCAGAGTGGAAGCCGCAGGTCCCTGGTGTGGGGCCCTCCCTGCTACCAGGTGGGAGGGGTAGGGCCCAAAGGCAGGGGGTGAGCCAGGGGCACGGGTGTCTTCTGTTGTTTCCAGGAGTGCCTTCGGGGAGCTCTACATCCTCCTGCCCCTCCTCTCTGCTCTGCTGCTGCTTCTCCTGGTGGCAGCCTCACTGCTGGCTTGGAGAATAGTGAAGCGACGTAAGAAAGGTGAGGGGACCTGGCTGGGGCTGGGCGGGGGCTGGGCTGGGCGGAAGTGTGTGGGGCCGATGGCCATGCTTGTCACCCAGGAGCCACCTGTCCAAGGGATTACCCACACGGCTTGTGGCTTGGAAGGGGCGTTGTCCCAAAGGCCACGGGCAGCTGAGCCCAGGACATCTTGTCATTAGCTCCCTGCCTTGCACACCCCTCCTTGCTCTCCTCTCCTCTCTGACCTGCAGCCTCCCTCTCTGGCTTGGCTCTGGGTGGCAGAAGGGGCAATGGCCGTAGGCCATCTCGGGTGCCCGGTTACCTCAGTGGGATCCATATGGTTGCCAAGGAGGTACTGAGCTGACTTGGGGGTAGGGAGAAACACACACACACACTCACACAAGTGAATGTGCCCACACATGCTCGGACACACACAATCAATACATAAGTGCACACACACACAGTCAATGCACACATGTATGCCCCATGGATCACACACATGCACTCACATGTGTGTGCATGCACAGCAGATGCACACACACAGATCACACACCTGTGCACACCTGTGCATGCACACACACTGCACACTCAGCCCTCTGGGTTTTATTAAAAGGGTTGGCTCTGGTTCCTACTTTTGCTCCTCCGCCCCAGCCCTTGCTCTGGCAGACCATTCTGGGTGACCTTGCTCTTTAGGGAAGAGCCTCCTCACTCTCGAGCCAGGACTCTCGTGCCTGCACTCACGGACCAGCTCTCATACAGCGTGAGATCTGGCCTCAGCCTGGCCCCCCTCCTGTGTGGGGTCACTTCCGCATTCTCACACAACGGCACCGCCCCCTTCTCAGAACCTACTGGACCTGTACTCTCATAAGTCCCCTCCAGCACTCCTTCCCCGTTCCCCCAATAGCCTGGGAGTCTTGAAGTCTGGGAGGAGGGAGCCCAGCTTTTGCTCTTCATGGCTTCTCCCAAATGCATTGTCCATGGCTCACACTGCAGGTCTTTCTGTGCTCCTTGGTATCTAGACTTTTGAGACTAAAAATCAGGGGGGAAAATTTTTTGTTTTTGTTATCTCTAAAGCTAGGGGTGGAGGGAGGGCCAAAGGGCAGGACAAAACAGGAGCTGGTGAACATGTGAAAGCCGGTCCCCCAGGCGCTGACCCAGCCTGAGCACTCCGTTTGGAGGGCAGCCTGGCTTAGTCCTCTGCGTCCGCAGATGATGGGGCACGTGGGTGCCAGGCACGGCCAGGCACCGGGCGTGCCAGGAAGGGCAGGCTCAGCAGCCACAGCCCACCAGAAGACTCACCAGAATCCGCCGGGACAAAGGCAAGGAGACAGACAGAAATCAAGTGCAGAGAGGGCCGGGCAGGGAGGCAGAGAGGGCTCAGACAGTGGGCGGCTGGGGAAAGTAGGTGTCAATCATGGTGGTGTTATAGGCAGAGTCCTGGCAGAAGTTATGGCCTGACCCCGGGATGGCAGCGAAAGAAACGCAACCCCAGGGAAGCTGGTGGCTGACAGGGCCACCCAGTCCATTGATGTCACAGTTCTGTGATGTGGGAAACAGATGGGCTGAAGTCTCCTTATTTTTCTAGACGAGAAAGGAAGCTCAGAGAGGTGAAGTGCCCCATGTCACAGGTTGTGTCATTGGAAGACTCAGAATTAGACCCAGGTCCCTCCTCTGAGTTTGGAGTTTCATTCATCTCTTCTCTTTTTTATATCTCTCCCCCAGGCCTGGGGGCCCCCAGTCTTAGGATGGGCTTTCTAATTCTGATTGTTTTTGCCTTTTAGCTGCTGGGATACCCCTGGAGCAGGTAAGAGAGTCCTTGAGGTCAGACCAGGGACACCAGATGGCCCCTTTCCCCTCTCTTCTCATTTTCCACCTGCCACGGACCCCGAATGACCATCTGCTGCAGGGGCCAGGGGACGGAAGGGGTGTGGGCATGGCCAAGAGAAAGGAGTGCAGGGAGGGGGCAGGTGTGGGAGACTGAGAAGTCAGGGGAAGCTGGGAGGGGGCAGGGTGGCAGAGAGGCTTGTGGGCTTCCACTGCAGGGGAACCCGGCCTTCCTCTTCCAGGCGCTCCAGCCCTTCGAGAGTGAGATCTGCTATGCCAACGTGACCCTGCGGCAGCCCGGAAGCTCCCCCAGCTCCCCCAGGACGAAGACCTTAAGGAAGCCCTCCTCCTCTGCTTCGGAAGCCCAAGTGGAAGTAGAATACGTCACCATGGTGTGTCTTTGTTGAGGCTGCTGTGGGCCTCCGAGACAGCCCTGCCATTTTCCCCTCTTTGAGGGTGGGCTCTCTCTCGCCCATGTGGGTGCAGAGGAGGGTGGGTGCCGGGCAAAGTCTCAGCCATTCAAAGGCTTGCGGGCCGAGCCCCCCCAGGCTCTTGGCCCTTGGAAGTGTCTCCATATCAGGTCTCAACACTGGGGCCTCAGAGCCTGGTCAACCGTGTGTTGGGCAGGGGAGGCCCAGAGAGGTCCGGGGACCCGGGACTCCATGCGGAGTGTGTGCCCCGGCACGGAGCCGAGGGAGGGCGTCTCCTGCTCTTGCTGGAGCTCAGGGGGCCTGGCAGGGGGAGGGAGGCGCGGCCAGAGGGTCCGAGAGTGGGCTGCAGAATCCCTGAGGGGCGCGTCCCCGGGCCTGAGGGAGGCCTCCTCCGTCTGTGCGCGGGCCTCCTGCCAGCCTGGCTGACCCCCTGCATCTTTACTCCAGGCTCCCTTCCCAAAGGAGGACATTGCCTACGCAGCTCTGTCTTTGGGTGCCACGGACCAGGACCCAACCTACGTCAACACAGGCGACATCATTGCCCACCTTCCCAGCGCGGGCCACGAGGAGCCCACGTACAGCGCCATCAGGAAGCCCTAGCCTGGGCTCAGGCCCTCTGTCCGGCCCACGTGAGGCCTGTCAGCACGCGCCTGCCCCGTCTGCTTCCTGCTCCCAGCCCTCTCTTCGCCCCCAGCTCTGAACTGGGCTTCAGGCCTGGTCTCAGGGGGCTTCAGGGAGATAAAAAGGGGTCTCCGCATCCCTTTTCCTCCTACACAGCTTGGGAAGAGGCTCGGGATCTGCTCTGGGGCTGCTGAGGGAGCAGTACAGATGATAAGGACCACAATAGCAACGAACCTTTATTTATTGCTACCACGTGGGGGGCGCTGAGTAAGGTCCCTGGTGAGACCGGTGTGTAAACCTCCAGAACCTGGGAGCATCAGCTTACATGGCAAAAGGGACGGTGCAGATGTAATTAAAATGAGGAATACAAGTTGGGGAGATTATTCTGGATTATTCTGGTGGGCCCTTAATATGAACCAGAAGGGCTCTTATAAGACGGAGGCCAGAAGGTCACAAGAGAAGGCAGCGTGACGATGGAAGCAGAGGTTGGAGCCACGCGGCCCGGAGCTGAGGAACGTGCAGCCTCTAGAAGCTGAAAAAGTCAAAGAATGGATCCCTCCGGGGAACCAGCCTTGCGGACACCTTGACTTGGGCCCAGGGAAGCGGCTTTTGTACTTCTGGTCTCCAGAACTGCAGGCGAATAAATTTACATTGTTTTCATCGAGCCACTCAATTCGTGGTAATTGAGAGCAGCGATAGGAAACCGATACACTGTCGCGGCAGGTGCTCTTCCCTAAATGCTCCACCTACAGTGACTAATTTAATCCTCAGCACCGCCCTACCAGGGCGCCTTTATCACTGTCTCATTTCACACACTGTGGAGTCACTGTCCAGGGAGGCTCAGGGACTTACCGAGTTTTTCCACTCGCAAGTGGGTGAGCTGGAGCTGGAACTCAGGCGTTTTGCCTCTGGAGCCCGGAGTCTGGGCCGCCACCCTGCACCGTGGGTCTAGGGAGGGTCATGTGTGCACGTGGATGTGCACGTGGGTATACACGCACTCAGAGCTACTCGCACAAGGATAGTGAGTGAATATTTACAAACTGCGGACTCACCATCTTTCTGGGGTCCTGGCAGCCCCTCCTCCAGGTTATGTCCCGAACCCTGTCCTGTCTCAGTGTCTCCGTGGTTACCAGCCTTGCCCAAGCTCCCCCCGCCCCGGCCCCCGCAGTCCCCTGCCTGGCGTCTCTTGCTCTCATTCTGTGCCCCTGAGCCCATTCTCCTCCCAGCAGCTAGAGTAACCTTTGCGAAGCACAGACCTGCTCTGTCCCTGCTGATCGCCTTCTGGTGGCTTCTCCTGCAGCCCACGAGACCACTGGGATCCCTGGGTCCCTGCCTGCCCCTTTGACCCTGTCTCAGGCCACTTCCCCTGTCACCCACTGTCCTTCATTCCCACCGACCTTTCTGCTGTCCTCCTAACAAGATAAGGAGATAAGAACAATCTCCTCTCAGGGCATTGGCCTATGCTGTTCCTTCTTTCCAGAATCCGACGCTTGCAGCTGTCTGAGTGGTTAGCTACTTTTTTATCGTCACATCTCTGCTCAAACGCCCCCTCCTGGAGCGGCCCTCCTCGCCCGCCCGAGCAGCCGCAACCACCGCACTCCCTCGTCTTTCCTCCGCCACATTGCCTTGTTTTGCTTCCTTCACAGCATTCACGTCTTTGTGAATTGTTCACTGGCGTGTGGGTTTGCTCTGCCTCAGTCTCCCCTGGGCTGCAGCCAGCCCGCAGGTGGGGACTTGATCTGATTCACTGCTGTGTCCCCTGTGCCTAGTTTAATGTCTGGTACGCAGCGAGTCCTCCAATGTTTATATGCTCATTGAGTGAATAAATAAAGCAGATTATTCAGACTTGGAATTCAGGGCACCCTCTCAGGAGCAGGGACAACTGTGTCTGTCATTCTAGGGAGGGAGTCCTGGGCCGCCCGGGCAACCTCAGGAATTTGGGGATCGACTTCCTGAAGCATGAAGCGGAGAGACTTCTCCCTCGCCTCCTGCAGCAGGGGAGAGGTGAGGAGCCATGGTCCCTTCCGACTGGGGGACAAAGGTCTCTTACTTCACTAGGTCCCTTCTGGGGGGGCTGGTGGTGGTGGTGCTGAGAGGACATGTCAGGGAAAGAAGCCCTGGCTTAAGGAGCGGCGAGGTTCGCGTGGGCCCAGGCAGGGGACCCGGCAGGGGAGTGTTTAGCGGTGCATCCTGGGGCTCGCCTCACTTCTCACGCCCTGGACCCCGAGCGGCCTCGGGGAGGCTGACGGCCATCCCGGCCTGTTTCTGCTCCCCCTCCCTGAATGACTCCCTAGGACCTCCAGAGCTTTTCCATCCTGGGAGTTTGCAGGGCCCACACAAGCTTAAATATCTTCGGGCTGGTCAGTGACGCTGCCTGGGTCCAAGCGAGGCTTGGCTGCTCCACCCAGGCTGGTGGAAGATTTGCCGAACAAGAAGTGCTTGCAGGGACCTCTTCCAATGGAAAAGGTCGAAGCAGAGCAAAATGAGAGCGAATCCAAATATAAAAGTAAGAGTCAAAACAGAAAGACTTCTGGCGGGGCATCACCATGCCATTTTAACTCCTGTGTATAAAGTGGCTTTATTGCTGAGTTTTAAACAGCTGCCACCAAACAGACCCCATAAGTACATGGTTATGTTGGGTGGTAAGGAGCCCGTCTGCTCTGGGAATCAGATACTGGTGAAGGTTACCACCATGGATCTTCCGATATAAAGTGAGAAACTCAGGGAAGAACGGAATTCAGCTCAGTTTGGTTTGGTGGGAGGAGTGTGGTTGCTTCTGCCTTTATCTGGGCAGTGGATACGGGCCAGGAATGGAGGTTGCTGGCAGCCTGGCTGAGCCGAGGGAAAGTAAATCGGCTTAGAAAGGCAGATAGATCCACTCTGATCACTTTTAATTTCTTTAGTCAAGCTTTACAAAAGATGTTTACCAGATATATCGCTGGATATAATGTCTCTATCCAGAATTCCAGCCATCCTGGTTGTGGCCTGTCTGAAAAGGGACCCTCTCGTGTCCTCAGAGATGGAGTTGACTAGCCCATGACATTTGAGACACCTGCCCAATCCATTCTGTAGCTGGACAGAGCAGATTTCGGACTGGTGGTTCTCCTGGGAAGTGTCCAGATTCTTTTTTTAAAAATATTTTGTTTATTTTTTTAAGAGAGGGGAAGGGAGGGAGAAAGAGAGGAAGAGAAACATTGATCAGTTGCCTCTTGTACATGTGCTGATGGGAAAGCTGAACCCGCAACCCAGACACATGCCCTGACCAGGAATCGAACTGGCAAACTGGCTTTGTGGGACCATGGCCAACCGACTGAGCCACACCGGTCAGGATGCACCCAGGGTCTTTAAGTGCTGAGTCATGACTGCAGGAACCTACCTCGAAGCCGGCCCACTTTCTTCAAGCCTGTCCTGGAGTTTAGAGAGTGCTGGGGAAGTGGTCAGGGTCAGCGGAAGGAAAGCAAACATATGCAAGACGTTTGGAAGGAAGTTGTTTCATAATGTCTATTGATCGGTATCTTGATGTTGTCTCAGCCATGTCTGGCTGTTCCATAAATGCTCTGCAAAGGCAAATTTTGGTGCTGAAATGGCACCTTCAGTGCAAGAGAGAGTTTGGCCATGGTGCCTGCGGCCTGAGTGATGGTGGCATTTACCATTTTGCTGTGTGGTTTCCGGGAAAGCCCATTTCTCTCAAGGCCAATGCCAAGCTATTTAACTACTCCTCTCTGCTAGAGTGCCTCATGAGTTCCAGCCTGTCTAAAGTTGCTGGGCTTTCCCTCCTCTGGGTTTTGAATTATTAATATTTAAAGATCCTGCTTGACAAAAAAAAACTGTAGGGTTTGGATGGCCTCCTTTTGAGAACTTAGTGTGTATAACTGGCTTCCAGCAGACTGAGCCTTTCTGAGAGTCAGCCGACAGGGACAAATATGCTGGGCTGGTAACCTTCAAAATACACGGTTAAGAGGCATAATGGACTGAAGTGAGCCTAAAGGCTACCTTTGCTTGATACCTTAAAAACAGAGCAGCCGGTGGGCCTTGGAAGGGCCAGCCTGCTGGAACCAGTTGATCTCATGTATCAATAATTTTTTAGATCAGGAGGGATTGATATTGTGGTCGGCCTTTTATTTTACCAAATAAATGCATCCTAATCCAATATAAATGGAAGTGGCCAGTTCATTGAAAGGTCTGGCTAAGTCAGGGAATTGTAAAAGAGATAATCTTTCTCTAAATGCGTTCTTTTGACTCAAAACAACTAAACGTGCAGCAAATGGCTAGTATTGTGATGTAGACCGAAGCCCATGCTTTGCCTCTGGAGAGAAGAGGCCATTGCTGTCCTGTGTAAACTGTGCACTGTCGTGTGGGGCCGAAGCTCCACTTCCAGTTTCTCTAATGTGGAGCAAGAGGGTCTGAACTCCTATGAAGCAATCTGATTGCAAAACCCTTTTTCATTTTTATTCTATTACACAGTTCTCTTGCTCATTCCTAATTTGACAGCATTAAAAAAAAAAATGATGTGCTTTGATCAAGCCTTTCCAAAGCATTCGATTTCGGTTTTGTAGCAATAAGAGTTCTCTTTTTGTTTTATACTCTTTTTCATTGGTCAACATCCTGTTTAGACTTTCATTGATTAGTTTATGGATGTGTTAATTGAATCACATAATCATAATTAATGTGTACACTTGGCCTAACCAAGTTTGGGCCCGAACACAGTTGACTCTTGGTGAACGTGCCCCTGAACAGGTGCGGGCAGAGGTGAGTGGCTGGCGAGAGAGGACTGACCCGTCGCCACGGGGCTGGAGTTGGCAAGTTTCAACAAGATACTAAAGGGTGGACTGATGTAGTAAGCTGGTTAAGAGAGGGATTGATTAAGAAAGCTTCTACTAAACCATCTGTTATGACCATAATTTCACAAAAGAAACGACATTTCCGCAGCCCAAGTCAGAATAGGAGCCAGCGTTTCCCAAGAAATGGCGTTTGGTAAC